TACTGAGACAGAGAGATGCTGGGGGAAAGTAAAAAGAAAGATACTGGAGACAGAGAGAGGATACTGAGACAGAGAGATGCTGGGGGAAAGTAAAAAGAAAGATACTGAGACAGAGAGATACTGGAAGACAGAGAGATGCTGGGGAAAGTAAAAAAGAAAGATACTGAGACAGAGAGATGCTGGGGAAAGTAAAAAAAGAAAGATACTGAGACAGAGAGATACTGGAGGAAAGTAAAAAAGAAAGATACTGAGACAGAGAGATACTGAGACAGAGAGATGCTGGGGGAAAGTAAAAAAGAAAGATACTGAGACAGAGAGATGCTGGGGGAAAGTAAAAAAGAAAGATACTGAGACAGAGAGATACTGAGGGAAAGTGAAAAAGAAAGATACTGAGACAGAGAGATACTGACAGAGAGATGCTGGGGAAAAAAGAAAGATACTGAGACAGGGAGATGCTGAGGGAAAGTGAAAAAGAAAGATACTGAGACAGAGAGATACTGAGACAGGGAGATGCTGAGGGAAAGTGAAAAAGAAAGATACTGAGACAGAGAGATACTGGGGGAAAGTGAAAAAGAAAGATACCGAGACAGAGAGATACTGAGACAGAGAGATGCTGAGGGAAAGTGAAAAAGAAAGATACTGAGACAGAGAGATGCTGAGGGAAAGTAAAAAAGAAAGATACCGAGACAGAGAGATACTGAGACAGAGAGATGCTGAGGGAAAGTGAAAAAGAAAGATACTGAGACAGAGAGATGCTGGGGGAAAGTAAAAAAGAAAGATACTGAGACAGAGAGATGCAGAAGGAAAGTGAAAAAGAAAGATACCGAGACAGAGAGATACTGAGGGAAAGTGAAAAAGAAAGATACTGAGACAGGGAGATGCTGAGGGAAAGTGAAAAAGAAAGATACCGAGACAGAGAGATACTGAGGGAAAGTAAAAAAGAAAGATACTGAGACAGAGAGATACTGAGACAGAGAGATGCTGGGGGAAAGTAAAAAAGAAAGATACTGAGACAGAGAGATACTGAGACAGGGAGATGCTGGGGGAAAGTAAAAAAGAAAAGATCGAGACAGAGATACTGAGGGAAAGTGAAAAAGAAAGATACTGAGACAGAGAGATGCTGAGGGAAAGTAAAAAGAAAGATACTGAGACAGAGAGACATTGAGGGAAAGTAAAAAAGAAAGAGGCCGAGGTGACAGAGAGATACTGAGACAGTGAGATGCTGGGGGAAAGTAAAAAAGAAAGATACTGAGACAGAGAGATACTGAGGGAAAGTAAAAAAGAAAGATACTGAGACAGAGAGATACTGAGGGAAAGTGAAAAAGAAAGATACTGAGACAGAGAGATGCTGGGGGAAAGTAAAAAAGAAAGATACTGAGACAGAGAGATGCTGAGGGAAAGTGAAAAAGAAAGATACTGAGACAGAGAGATGCTGGGGGAAAGTAAAAAAGAAAGATACTGAGACAGGGAGATGCTGAGGGAAAGTGAAAAAGAAAGATACCGAGACAGAGAGATACTGAGGGAAAGTGAAAAAGAAAGATACCGAGACAGGGAGATACTGAGGGAAAGTGAAAAAGAAAGATACTGAGACAGAGAGATGCTGGGGGAAAGTGAAAAAGAAAGATACTGAGACAGGGAGATACTGAGGGAAAGTGAAAAAGAAAGATACTGAGACAGGGAGATGCTGAGGGAAAGTGAAAAAGAAAGATACCGAGACAGGGAGATACTGAGGGAAAGTGAAAAAGAAAGATACTGAGACAGGGAGATACTGAGGGAAAGTGAAAAAGAAAGATACTGAGACAGGGAGATGCTGAGGGAAAGTGAAAAAGAAAGATTCCTGGAGACAGAGAGATACTGAGGGAAAAGTGAAAAGAAAGATACTGAGACAGAGAGAGATGCTGGGGGAAAGTAAAAAAGAAAGATACTGAGATGAGAGAGATGCTGAGGAAAGTGAAAAAGAAAGATACCGAGACAGGGAGATGCTGAGGGAAAGTGAAAAAGAAAGATACTGAGACAGAGAGATGCTGGGGGAAAGTAAAAAAGAAAGATACTGAGACAGAGAGATGCTGAGGGAAAGTGAAAAAGAAAGATACCGAGACAGGGAGATGCTGAGGGAAAGTGAAAAAGAAAGATACTGAGACAGAGAGATGCTGGGGGAAAGTAAAAAAGAAAGATACTGAGACAGAGAGATGCTGAGGGAGAGTGAAAAAGAAAGATACCGAGACAGGGAGATGCTGAGGGAAAGTGAAAAAGAAAGATACCGAGACAGAGAGATACTGAGGAAAAGTGAAAAAGAAAGATACTGAGACAGAGAGATGCTGGGGGAAAGTAAAAAAGAAAGATACCGAGACAGAGAGATACTGAGACAGAGAGATACTGAGACAGAGAGATACTGGGGGAAAGTAAAAAAGAAAGATACTGAGACAGAGAGATGCTGAGGGAAAGTGAAAAAGAAAGATACTGAGACAGAGAGATACTGAGGGAAAGTGAAAAAGAAAGATACTGAGACAGAGAGAGACTGAGACATAGAGATACTGAGACAGAGAGATGCTGAGGGAAAGTGAAAAAGAAAGATACTGAGACAGAGAGATACTGAGACAGAGAGATGCTGAGGGAAAGTGAAAAAGAAAGATACTGAGACAGAGAGATACTGAGACAGAGAGATACTGAGGGAAAGTGAAAAAGGAAGATACTGAGACAGAGAGATACTGAGACAGAGAGATATTGAGGGAAAGTGAAAAAGAAAGATACCAAGACAGAGAGATACTGGGGGAAAGTAAAAAAGAAAAAGATACCGAGACAGAGAGATACTGAGACATATACACATATGTGTGCATATACACATATAGGTGTATATGTTACGTTTTTTTGCGAAATCGGTTATTTTGCAAAATTCCCGTCATGCATGCCGGTAATTTTGCGAAATAACTTACAAACAGACAACCTAAACTAATCTAGCCTTATGGTTAGGTTAAGTGACAGTTTACGTTAGGTTAGGTTAGGTTAGGTTAGGTTAGGTTAGGTTAGGATGGCTCGTATAGATTGATACACAGTTAAGTGGTCCAGTTCGTTTTTTTTTACTTTGGCTTCCCTGTTTGTAAGATATTTCGCAAAATTACCGGCATGCATGACGGGAATTTTGCAAAATAACCGATTTCGCAAAAAAACGTAACATATACACTCCAATTTGCCTACATATGTGTGTGTGTGTGTGTGTGTGTTTGCGTGTAAAAGAACAATGTGTGTGTGTACAAACTCATATACACATAATTATTACAGACTCGACTCACAAAAAGAAAAGATTAACGAGTCTTCCTTAATAAACCTTAAAAAGACAGTTTTACGACCCGTATAAATTACTTCCGCGCGAGGCTAATGTTTTGGTGTTTCTCGACCTCAAAGACCTACGACATCTGCAGTAAGTTACTTCATACAAAAAAAATAAATAAACTATAGAATCTAAACATATCCTTTTGTACACATTCGAGTATGTTGTCTTTATAATGTGCTATTGTACTTTAAGCAGGTACACTATGTCACTTTTTACGAATACGACATAAGAAAAGAAGAACGCTTTTTTTGGACACTCGTGAGTATCGTGGGAGAGAATACCAAGACATGACACGGGTATAGCCAGGTGAAGGAAAGGCGTGAAGGAGGTCTAAACCCTTAAGAAGGTATGGACAAGAATAATAATAACAGAATCTGTAATAATTATAATAATAATAATAATAATAATAATAATAATAATAATAATAATAATAATAATAATAATAATAATAATAATAATAATAATGATAATAATATGCACACTAAAATTATATTACAATGGTTTACTTGGTTAAATGTATGTAAATTATTTCTTTGCGTAAATACATAAATTAGTAACACTCTTGAATTTTAATGCATAGATTATAATCAACTTTTAATAATATAGCCAAAAGATTTAATAATCAAACACTTCATTAACATGGACAGACAGACAGACAGACAGACAGACAGACAGACAGACAGACAGAAAGACAAACTCCAATAATATACTACAAATCATCTTATTAATCACCCCACTCCGAAAATAATAAATGAACACTGATCAAGAAACAGATCAAAGTGAGAATCAAGTGAGAAGTGTCTACTATTGTGTCTCACTGCGGTTCATCATCATCATCATCATCATCATCATCATCATCATCATCATCACACACTGGTCCAAGTAATCATGAGCAGAGGTGAAGGGTGTCCCAAAGGTCTCAGCACGGGGAGTGAACCGACAGATAGCCACAGGACCGGTGTTGGGAAAATAAATGCAACTTAAGGTAATTACCGCGTAGGGAAAGGAGAACGTAAAAAAAATACTGCGCAAAGTAAGTACAGTGTCAAGTACGGACCGCATAAGGGGAGGACTGTGTACTGTAAGGGGAAGGCCACGTAAGGGCAGGACTGCGTAAGAGGAGGACCGCATAAGAGAGGAACTGCTTAAGAGGAAGACCGTGTCAAAGAAGGGCTACGCATAGAAAGCATCAAGTGTGGTAACTTCCTCGTATATCGTAACTCTTTTAACCCCTTGAGGACGTTAACGCAATATCTTGAGTACGATATCACAACCTTATGATTACAATAACCAGTGTATAGTACTTACTTGAAGAGGTCATGTCATAGGTTCGAATACTGGTGTAATTTAATTCAAGGGGCAATATCATAAGTAAAAAAAATAATCACTGTACTTAATTTAAAGGGATTCAAACACCAAAGAGTTGTATCAAAGGTTCACACTTAGTGCCATACTGTTTTCTCGGAATCTGTCTAATTTGTGAGTGAAAAAAAAAAAATCACAGTGCATCTTTATCCTCCCCTTCAGGCGCGTATCTCTTAACCGGGACAAACATGAACTGATACGATGAGACCAAACGGTATCTATTTTGTTTTTCCAACACCCGAGACAGCGGTGGACAGAGGGATGGAACCAAGCGTAAGTAAAATTATTGTGAGTTGTTACTTACGCAGAGTACTTGGGTCAGCTTCTCCTAGTAGTCTCTCTGTCATTACTGGGTTAGTGTACGTGTTAAAGTCACCCTGTGGTTCTGGGCGAAGAGAAGAGGACAACGTTGACTCAGGTGATGAATCTCTCTCTCTGTCAGTGTCAAGACCTGACTGAATTATCTTCCGAATAGGCGCAAACTGTAACCACAAGCTTTGCCAATAAATTTGTTAAACTAAAATTAAATCCTCTTCCAGGAGATGAAGAAAGAAATACAACATACACGCCATACATGCTGTAAGTGCAAAATAATACAATGTTTTAATAATATAAAATACAACAATTTATGAGAACACTAAAAAACAATACCAATAACTTACAACAGGATAGAATACACTGCAGTACATGCGAAAATTCATTGCCTAAATTATGCAACATGCTGTAGAGTATAATACAATAGGAAAGACATATAACTTAATGGATTGTATAGAAAATAATAATGGAAGAATACAGTGGAATATAAAATACAGAAATGTATTAATTAATGCACGGATTCAAGCATACAACATGCTGCAAGTAAAAAATAATACAATGGTTTAGGAATGCACAACACAATAGCAAATAGGAAAATACAGTATACAAGCTTACGAGTCCAGTATACTGAACAGTAAGAAATAATGTAATGTATATACAGTATGTGTAATAAATACTTGGGTGTATATATATATATATATATATATATATATATATATATATATATATATATATATATATATATATATATATATATAGGAATACCCGAATACTAATGAACATGTGTATATTCATAGGTATACAGGATACACTTGAATAACTTAGCCTTCAGCTCTTCAATAAGTCAATTGATCATCTCATGTACTTCAAAGTCTTCGAGATACGACCCAACAAGTAGGTGTTAAGAGGAGTGTTCCGAAACCTTCACTGTTGTGTTGATACTAAATCCGTTAATAATCTTGTCGATGAATGGATTTGATAAGGTTAGGGCCTATTAGGGCTAAAGTTTATTAGAGCTAGGAATGGGGTCTATTAGGACTAGGGCCTATTAGAGCTGGGACTGGATACTATTAGATCTAGGGCCTATTAAAGTAGAATTGGCGCCTATGAGAGCTAGAAGTGGGATCTATTATAACTAGGGCCTATTAGAGCTAAAAATGGGGTCTATTAATCCAAGGAGTGGGACCTATTAGAAATAAAACTAGAACCTATTTGAACTGGGGCCAATTTGACCTATATCTAACTAACTAATACCTATTTACCATCAACAGAAACACGCACACAAGACAAACAAAACAACAGACTACAAAAAATGCTGTATACGACTATTACTCCATTAAGAATTTATAACTTAAGAGGAAAATTTTAGGCAAATGTCGAGCTCGGTCTCAAATCTTAGAGGATGGCCGCAAGCCACAAACCATTATACGTATAAGCGGATTCTTGGGACTCTCCAACTTGCTGAGAACTGTAGCCAACTCTGAGGCACTCCGGCAACAGGAAACTGGGTAGGAGGAGGGACAAGGAGGTGGAAAGGAAAGAAGGAGGGAGAGGAAAGAGGAGAAAGAGGTGGAAGGGGAGGAGAAAAGGAAATGAGGAGGGATAAGCAGGAGGAGGTGGATGAGGATGTGTAAAGGAAAGGAGGAGGTAGAGAAAGAAAGAGACAATCCAGAGAGGGGGATGGGGGAATAGGAGTCAATAGAAAAAGAATAGTAGGAGGAAGAGGAGGGAATCTAAACTTGATAAAGGAGAGGAAGGAGTAGATGAGACAAAATAGGGGATATAGAAAGAGAAGAAGAAGAAATGAATGAAAGACACTGCCTGCTCTCCAAACTTTGCAAGGTGACATAGAAGGAGGAACCAGTTGAAGTAATGTATAAGTCTCTTATACAATTCCTTTTTATTCTCGTTCGCTTTCTTTTGACAATCCTTCCAGCATTTGTTAAGTTTTGGAAAAGTCAAGTGGCAGGGATTTTTTCCCCCCTCTCTTGGCCTCTCTGATATTGCACGGTCGGGCTCTCACTGGACAATATCTCAAATGGGGAAAAAGACCATCTGAAGATTTTCCCTCAACAAGACAAAAAAAAAGAGTGAAAGAAACAATTTCCCCTCCAGCAAATTACTAAAGAAACAAGGTTAGGTTAGGTTAGGTTAGGTTAAGTCAGGTTACGTTAGGTTACGTTACGTTAAACTTTATTACAAGAGTTATGAAATTTTCCCCAGAGGAATGTTTTAACCTACAAACATTTCTCATCCCCCCCCCCCAAAAAAAAATATCCTTTAGTTGTCAGGAATAATGGAAGTATAACCTCAGTGGTGGGTTTTAGTTCGGCATTTATTTAATAAAATTCAAGAAGAAAGAACCAACTCGATCTTACGCTAAAATGTTAGTCACTCATAGTTAAGAATTGTAAGTTATCGTGTGTAAATGGTGAATCTAAGAACCTCGGTGACAATTACAATATTTTAACAGCTTTTTTGGGGTATCCTTACTTACTGTTCACCATTGTTTTTGTATTTGCACTGTCCACGTAACTCGCTCCAAAAGGTATCATTATGGAGGGATACGATGAATTCCAAATTGAACATTGCGGCCCCTTTCGTCTAGGAAGAGTTGTCAACATCTCCGTCCATTATATATAAATACAGTATATATATATATATATATATATATATATATATATATATATATATATATATATATATATATATATATATATATATATATATATATATATTATACCTGTGTATTTCTAATTAGTGTTTCAAAACGTTGCTTTAACTACAAGCCTGTGACTGACTACAGACTACTTATAAGACTAAAGACCAGAAAAATTACAGAAATTACAGACCGAAAGACCCAAAAGAGTAAAGACCTTTGAAGACCGATACTGACCTTTAAATGACTACAAATGTCTTTATATGACTACTAATTACATTTCTATGACTTCTAATTACTTTTATATGACTACTACAGAACCTTTAAATAAATATTATAGACCAATTAAATAAGAACCGAGACTAAATCCCAAGAAAAAAGTACCTATGAGTAACCAGGAGAGCTGTGAGTGACGAGTTACCAGGAGAAGAGAGCTGTACAGTAAGTGACGTGACAGTTCGAGTGACGTGAGAGTTACCAGGAAAAATGAGCTCTGTGTGACGTGAGTTTCCAAGACAAAATAGGTCTGAGTGACGTGAGTTACAAGGAAAAAATAGCCCTGAGTGATGTGAGAGTTACCAGAGCAATAAGAGGTGTGAGTAACTTGAGACATAAGACCTCCCAACAACCTTAAATTACACACACACACACACACACACACACACACACCTGCTGTACCTGTAACGAGTAGCTTGCGGGTGTCTTGTTGTCTTCTTACAGCCAGGGTAAAGAAATGTCTCCCTACCAGTTCTTTAGTCACCCGGTACAGTATGTCGACATGAAAACTTAGCGTCAGTATACATGAAGTACATACGACTCTTTTGTTTTTAAGTATATAAGTATATACTGATAATAGTTATGCTAGGAAGGTTCTCTCGTTTTATATATATATATATATATATATATATATATATATATATATATATATATATATATATATATATATATATATATATCTTGATAAAATCACACGGAAAAGGGAAACAACGTGTGATTTTAAGAAGATTTATCTTATCCACGTTTTCATTGTGGATCTACATGAAATATATATATATATATATATATATATATATATATATATATATATATATATATATATATATATATATATATATATATTCACATGCGTATACACACACACATTCATACATACACACACATACACATAGATAAGCTTAAATGAAATTCACAGACAGACACACATTTACAGACAGACACAAACTCTAACTCTAACACACAATTTACCTTCAATACATAAAGATAATCCACACCTGAAAGCAAACCGATACTGAGGTTTTCACAAGGCACCAACAGCCTTCACTAAGACTTACCATCCGTTTAGATCTATATGTATTTTCCACTAATTCTTCAGTTCATGATAACATGTACTAATTAAACAAGGAAAATAAAACAGATGTGATTACAACCAAACAACTACTCACCATTGAAGAGGTAACCATCAGGGCCGACCCTAAGTAGTTTAAGGTCATATTGGGTCATGTCCTTCTCGCCAAAGCCCTCGAGGTCAGTTCCTCCTATAGTCTCCTTCACAATGCCATCCAACTCAGGGTATGAGATGGATTTCTTGTTCCGTCGGGCCAAACACAGGATCAGCAGCACCAACACTGAGTCAGGCAGTCACGAGAAAAATCCTTATTACTTAAAAGATTTCCTTCAACAATTGAGGACTTTAAGTACTTTACTGTACATCGAAATTAATTCGTTTATTCTGTTAAGTTAATCAAGAGTGCATCATTATTTTCTATGATAGAACAAGATGTCAGGTACTTACATATAGCACAAGATATTGGGAGGCACTGCACTCTCGCTTTAAAAGAAACTATTTATATGATTTTGTGTCAGACAATATGACAAAGGACAAAGGAATTTGACAACACTAACTAGACAACAGGTGTTCATTTTTAAATTCATCGGACCCCTCGGTAAAGATTCTTTTTGGAGCGATTGTACAAAATATCGGGTACTTACATATGAGGTACAGAGATATCGGGTACCTACATATGAGGTAAAGGGATATCGGGTACTTACATATGAGACGCAAAAGATATCAAGTACTTATATTAAATGTATTGTAACATGGAAACTATACAGAATCTGACATTGTACCCTAGAGACATTGTGGTTTAGAATTATCCAAGGATTTCGTCCTCCAATTTAATGTACTCTTTGTTGAATTACCCTGTATATGAGGCACAAGATATCGGGAACTTACATATGAGGCACAAGATATCGGGTACTTACATATGATGCACAAGATATCGGGTACTTACATATGATGCACAAGATATCGGGTACTTACATATGAGGCACAAGCTATATATCGGGTACTTACATATGAGGCACAAGATATCTGGTGCTGACATATGAGACACAAGATATCGGGATGTACAAGATATTGGGAGGTACAAGATATCGGGTACTTACTTATGAGGCTTAGTAAGCTGACGACAATGATGACAATCGATTCTTTCCCGACAATGACACGGGCCGGGCTGGGGGCATCACATGGCTTGTAGGTGTTCTTGTCGTAGTCTGTAGAGTTGAGGTCGTAGAGGTAGTCATTGTGACGGAGCTCCAACACGCACCCATAGAAGGGATCAACGATGGGGGGTGTGAGGGTCCAGCCATAAGAACCAGCCAGCTCTGAGAAAGGCTTCATGGCCGTCACTCCACCCACCTGTAAGGGAGCTCCGACATTCAGGAGGTGACTGGGGACATTCAAACCTGCCAGGGGAACAGATTTCTTGCATGTTGTTGAACTGTCGGTCGTCGTGTTACCGAGACAGTTGACCACTTCGAACTTGATATCTCGGTCATTCCAGGATATAGTGTAGTCGAAGGAGCGGTCGGCTTTCTGTTCGATAGGAATATCCATTTTAATAGTTCCTGTTCCCAAGTCTATATATGCATGTAAAATCCAGTTCTCGAGAAACACGTAGAGGAAATCCCTCGGATAATTGCTCCAAGGTTTAAGAACAGTTGGTCCGGAATACAAAAGAAGCCCTGTTGATTCCTTCGTATCAAAGGACATAAAGAGGGTTGCATTCTCACACACCTTCAGAGGCTCATACCAAGCGTACCCTCTCTCGAACCTCGCACTCTTGAGCTCACACCGCGGGCCGTAGTTGTCATCAGGACACTTGCACGTGAGGGTGTTGTTAACCTCAATGCAGTCGCCGCCATTGTAGCAGAAGCCGCTGTAGCAGACTGACGGAGGAGGCTCCAAGGCTCCACAATCACAAGTGTATTCTTCAGTAATATCAACCCCGACCATGGTGGTGGTGTCACTGCCGATCACGAGAGGGGAAGTGATGTTGGGCCTCAAGGACTGCTGGCAGCTGGTGGTCTCACAAGGAGACAAAGACTCATACAGGCAGTCGTTGATGTTCACCATCTTCAGGGTGATGTTCAGGTTGGCGTTCAACTGTCAGGGGAACACAGAAAGCAGTTGAGGAAAGTGGCTTCACAGATTGTATTACATAAAAGTATGCATGTGTTTGTGTGCAAATGTCTGTCTTCTGTTTGTTTGCTTTATAGCTGTGTTTCGAGTATGTGTTTGTATATGTGTATGTGTGAGCTTGTGCAATTCGTATCAAGAGAAGGTGTGACTGATACTAGCAAGAGGAACATCAAGACTCCTTTACCTCCGTCCTGCGGGCCAACATGATCCCATTGAGCCTGGAGGCAGTGTAGTAGGGAGAACTGTGACAATTGTAGCGGATATCGACGTCGCCACCCTCCACATCCCTCAGGGTGAAGATGTCCACGTTGTCCGGGCTGATGTCGTGGATCCTCCCGATTTCATTCTTCAGCCGCTCGTACAGACTTGTGCCTGACGTTGCCGACTAAGGCAGAGGATGAAACAAGAAAGGTTGAGTTTATTTTAAAAACAAACAGGTAATTATAATTTTAAGTTTGAATGTAATATACACTTGTGGGTGTCTTACTAACTCATATGGTGTGACTGGTGAGGAAAATGGCACAAAAGAGGAAGTGGAGGAAAATTTTGCCTCCACCATACCATCTGCATTCAAGGACTCACCCCTTGCTGCTCGAAGACCTGGTGGGTGGTATATCCAGCGACCCTGAAGGAGCCTGAGTGCATAACGGCCTCCTCCGTTAGGTCCACCACTGTGATCTTTACCTCTCCAATGGCCGTCTCGTTTCTGAACTTGTCCGTTACCTACGGATGGCGAAGATGGAGGGAAAAAAGTTGGTTGGGTGGTTGGTGGGTTTCACTGAGAAACTGAGAAACTGAAGGAGGTTTTGAGGACAAAATAATGATAAGTACAAAAGTAAGCTGTGTGTTTAAGGAAAAAAATTAGATTCTTGTTTTTTCTTGCATTCATTCCGTCATTAAGAGAATATCTGTATATTTAGGTAATGTAACTATATCAGTGGGTCAGGATGCTGAAGGTGTTGACCATTCTTGGAGGACAAGATTATGACTTGACTTACCTTGACCTTGAGTTCGTATGTTCCCTCAGGGGTGCCTTTCTTCATGGTGATGTTCCCGTTGTTGTAGTCGACGTCGAAGTGGGTGTCGACTCCAGATCGAGTGATGGCGTCGATCTCGAAGGTCTTATCCCCAACGTCGTAGTCGTCCAGATCCGTCACGTACACTGTCCCGATCACCATGGGCGGGAATTGTCCCTAAGGAGGACACAACGGACAGTAGTCACTCTTCCAGTAGACGGACGCATCAATAACAGTCTCAAAAGGAACTTAAATGTCACCCTCTAACCTCAAATATGTTGTGAATTCACGATGGTTATCTATATTATTTTTATATTTTACATACTGTACACATCATGTCATGTATAAATTATATATGTATCGGTCACACACATACATTGAAACACAAATACACCTTTTCGCAATTACGTTGAGACATTGTTATATACCTATTTGACAAATTTCATAACCGAATGACAGAACACATATCGAATGACAATCTACAATAACTGTTCGTTCATGCTAACGGAAATGATTGACATAAGTTATAAAATTGACAGCGGTGAACAATAAACCGACAGTCTACATATAGTTTGAGAATGTAACACTTGGAGAATGACATACCACCAACAGTTATTTTAGATTGTCATTCGATATGTGTTCTGTCATTCGGTTATGAAATTTGTCAAATAGGTATATAACAATGTCTCAACGTATATGTGAAAAGGTATACTTGTTCGATACATGCTGTACATACACTTGGAAACTAATTCTTTAACCAATTAGAGGGCAGGAGTTTCTCTCAGCTGAATAATATCATCTGGCATTAGCCAGAATAAAATACCTAGTGTGGAGCTGCCGTCTAAAAGATTAATCGAGATAGACCATAAGCATACTTCAAAGGTGCAAACCATTGCTTTAAATATACAAACAGATCATATGAATTTAATCTTTATTCCGATGAAATAAATACCGTATCAAGATGACACAAGGATATAACAGTGTTGAGGATCAACATCCAGCGTTCTTATCCTATCATCCTACAGATTATACAACCACTACCCCCATACACAATACTGATCCATCATTACGCAGTACCTGATAGTTGTACACCTTGATGGTGCTAGAGCCGTCACTCATTGGAGAGTCGTTCTCGTCACCGACCTCCACAGTGAGATAGCGGACCCCACTGACTCCCTCCCTATCAGATGTCCTGAAGGGGATCTCGTAGAACTTCTGAGCCTCACGATCCAACATTTTTAGAGGCCACAGCCTGTACTGTGAGGCGATGCTGGTCGACGAGAAGAGAACACAAATCTTCCATCAGTTATCATTGTCACATTAAGAGATAAAACTGAACCAGAGTCAGCAGATCATGAGATATTATAGCACAAAAGGTTTTTCTTGTCGGTGAGTAACCCAATCAGATTTCACATTTATTTGGGTGACTAATGTACTTAATAATAATAATAATAATAATAATAATAATAATAATATTAATAATAATAATAATAATAATAATAATAATAATAATAATAGTAATAATGATAATAATAATAATAATAATAATAATAATAATAATAATAATAATAATAATAATAATAATAATAATAATAATAATAATAGTAATAATAATAATAATAATAATAATAATAATAATAATAATAATAATAATAATAATAATAATAATAATAATCACAATAATTTCTTGCCTCTGGTGTAATTTAGTTCTATTGATATGTAACAGAGAAGGATCTAATGTCTCGCCTCCAGAACACCCCATCCCTGTCAACTCACTCACCCCTCTACGGGCGCTACTTTGAACTTGTCGGTGATGTCACTGGGCGTGTTGCTGTCGAAGGCTAGCGTACAGGGACACCCATGCTCCAAGGTATCCCAGTCGCTCAGCATGATGGTGAGATTCTTGGTTGCATTTGGCGGTGTGTTCTCCATGAACTTTGCGTAGCTGTGGTCCTGTGAAGGAGGAAAGGGGTACTAGGGTAAGCAAAGGACTGGAGAGAGAGAGAGAGAGAGAGAGAGAGAGAGAGAGAGGTAAACAAAACCTCTGGATAACACTAACCGGACTTTGGATATATGGATGGTTGTCATTGACGTCATTGATAGTAAGGGTGACAGCCGCTGGGTGTGCTTCGTGTCCAGTCCCTTGCTCGTCTGCGGCGTGAGGATAGAGTGTCATGATGCCCCGTGTAGCTGCAGCCTCGCGGTCAAGACACTGGAGGATAAGACCACAACAGCAGTATAAAAACCATATATATAAATTGTAACAGTATGCATCATATAATCATACATGAATATAGTAATAATACTTCTATAGTAACAATATCAATAAATAGTATCTCTCACACACACACACACAAACACACACACACAAACACACACACACACACACACAGACGCACACATACAAGCCCCCCTGGTGATACTCACGCCCCTGATAGCGATCTCTCCTGTACTGTTGTTGATGGTAAAGTTCTTGAGCTCCTCTATGGGCAGGTAGTAAGAAATATTTTGGTAGACGTCAGGAGGAAGGTCCGGGTCTATCGCTGACACCTGTAGAGGAAAAAAGTTGTAGCAATAGTTCATCATGTACAGATATGTAATGGACGAAAGTGAAAGAAAACGTTAAGATAAAAAGCTAAAATAAAATATAAAAGAAAACGGATCACCTGCACATCAACCAATCTAATTGTAACTAGTGGGGGTTAGCTTAGGTTAGGTTAGAGCTAAGGTGGTTAATCTTCAGATGAAAAATGCTAAGGTTTCTAATCTTCAGGTGAAATAAGATAAGGTGTATAATTTTCAGGTGAGATAAGCAAAGGTGTGTAATCTTCAGGTGAAATAAGTTAAGGATGTCTCCAGGTGAAATAAACTAAGATGTTTAAGCTTCAGGTGAAATAAATTAAAGTGTCTAATATTTAGGTGAAATAAGCTATGCCGCTCTAATCTTCAGGTGATCCGAGAAAAGTAATAATATTAAACGACATAAAAACAACAGGTAATATCACAAAATGTTACTTACCTTTCCGAAGGTTTTATCACAGTCTATATTCTCAGTGACGGTGTAATTATACTTGTTGGGGATGAACACCGGAGGTATGTCGTTGATGTTGGTAACGTTGATAGTAATGTAAGTCTCCGCCATTTTGTTGGCCCCGTCACTCAACCGGACCAGCAACGTGAACTAAACGAGAAGGAACAAAACCAGTAAGTTGTTAAAATACTGTACTGTATACTTAAGCAACAGAAAATGTGATGCTGTGTTTATGAGTTTTTTAATCGAATTCAAGGTCGTTCTTAGGGGGATTCGGGTGGTTTCACAAGGTTCTCGAATCCTCATCCCATGGAGAAATAAAATCATCACACACACACACACACGATTAAACAAATTTCATGTCTGTCACTCAAAAGGCAAGACTCAATATCTTGATCCTTTAGACTTCTTGGTGAGTCACGCCCCTTGAACCACCACCCCTCCCCCCTTCCCCACTTTCCTCCGAGATAAGTATTCAAACCTTCAGGAGTCGTTGTAAGAATATGATCAATTATACAGTTAGTGTTTTATACTAATGAGTTAATTTATTGTACTTATATTGCAAGAAAAATATTTTTTTTCTGTATTAGTATCAATCTGAGGGTTGGCGACCACAGTCCTCCTCTCTAAACGTTCTGGGGCTGTTTTCACCAATCCTCCAAGGTTTCGTATCTCTCTGGGGACCCAGTTTTTAATTAATTCATCCATCCCAGTCTCTGCCTTCCCCTGGCCTTCTTTCCCTCAACTTTGCCCATTAATATCTAATTTTTCTTTTCTGTATATTTCAAGTATTTCTCTTGAAGTTTTTGTTAATCTTAGTACTCCATTTGTTTTCCCGTCAGTGTAACTTATTCTTAGCATTTGCCTATATCACCACATTTCGAAGGCCTCCAACCCGGTGTCTGCTGAAAGTGTCCAAGCTTCTGACTCACACATCAGTCCTTGCCATATCAAGCCTTTCGTCAGCCTTTTTCTCAAATTGAAGTTCATGTGCCTTTTCAATCGGTCTTTTAGATTATTAAATGCTGATTTTGCTTGACCTATTCCTGTTTTGATTTCCTCCGTACATCAACCACCACAGCTAATATTACTTGCCAAATACACAAAATTTTCTACTTGTTTAAGTTCTCTATTGTTTGCCATAATTTTTATTTTAGGATTTATTTCAAATCTGGAAACAACCATTACTTTAGTCTTTACAGCATAAACCAATAACCCATATTCGTCACCTTTTTCCATTAATCGGTTAACGATTTTTTGTAATGACTCTTCAATATCGGTGATAAGAGCAGTTTCATCTACATAGCATTTATTTGATTATTACTTTGCCATTAACTTTTAGTCCTTCATTATCACTTATAACTTCTCTCACTAAGAACTGTGACTATATATTATCCAATGTTGGAGATAGAACACAGCCTTGTCTTACTCCCTGTCTACCTGTGAGCCAATTAGTAAGTTCATTATTAACTAACACTGCAGCCTCCTGCTGCCAGTTAAAATGTTAATATATCTTTCATTAATGACTATTTTGTCCAAGGTCTCAATATGTTTATTGTGCTTTACTTTATCAAAAGCTTTTTCAAATCAACAAAGCATACTGTATATACAAATTTCTTCAGACCTCTAAAGCCCTTTCACTCAAAATTCTCAAACAAATCATAGCTTCTCCAGTTCCTTTTCCTTTTCTGAATCCATTTGGTCTTCACATAACTCACATTCTAGTCTAAACTTTATTCTACTTAAAAATTTTTTTAATAAAACTTTGCAGGCATGACTTATTAAGCTAATTGTTCGAAGTTGGGTGCACTCTTAGGCTCCTGTTTTTTTAGGGAAAAATATAAATATTGATTTTTTTTTAAATCACTGGGAAGGTCTCCTTTGAAGTATATAGAATTACATAATTTAGTCAAACTTTTATCCCATTTTTGCTCATTTGTTTTATAAATTCTGTCGGAGCTGATTAATACCACAAGTTTATTTTTTCATTTTGCTCACTACTGCCTCAACTTCTGTTTCTTGAATAGGCATCTCGATCTTTATTTCTTTTCGTTTCTTACTTCTACTCTATCTTTATCATTGTATTAGTGTGATGAAGTATAAAAACCTTCAACAGAAAATAGGATATTGAGACATAATTTTTCTATACATTCTTTTTAAAAGATTTTCTCTTGTTTTGCACATAAAATCACATTCATATAATGTACAATAAAAACACAACAGCATTTGGGTCATGATAACACTCACGTTTCTGTCATGGGCTGGGTCATCGTAGTCGAGTTCCTTGTTGATAGAAACTTCGCCAGTAGTCGAATCGATTCGGAACTTCTGTTCGTAGTTGCCATTAACGATCTGGAACTCGTTGTGGTTCACTGGAGGAGACAGTGGGAAGGTACAGGTCGTGAGAGGTGAGTGAGGTGAAGTTTAAAGTACTTGTGGAAATGTTATCAATATTGATCTGAATTAACCGATTAATAAGACATTTGTTTTCGAAGCCAACGGTTTGATTTTCACCTGGATGACTCGTATGTTATAGTCAATATGGGAGTCAGAGTGACAGAGACGTAACGAGGGATGACCTGTTTGGAGGTGAATTGAACGTCATCACCGTCATCAATAACACCCACTGTACTCACCAATGTCGGGGTCAATCACGACGAGGTTGATGCCTGTATTCTTGCCAGGTACTTTGCTCTCCGGCACCTGAACCGAGTAGACGCCTTTCGCCTTGTCGAATCGAGGAGGAACGTCGTTGATATCTAGCACCATAATCCAGTAGATAGTCATCCGCTTGTGGCCTGGTCATGAATACATAAAAGGAGGGATTAAATGAGTCTTGTGTGGAGGAGTAATGGAGTATCTGTTTCTATACATATAATTGAAACGCGTTCCCGATTTGCCTTGTGTGGAAGGGGATCATAGATGGCCATGTTCGCGTAACTGTGACACAAGTAGGAGTTAACCGAACCTCCAGACTTGTTGATGACGAATGGCCATGGATGGTTAAATTTGTCAGTTGTGGCCAGATAGTATCCCTGGATAGTTAGTTAGGACAGGTATGATGTGGGTGGCTGGTAGTGTATATGACTCTACACGTGTGGTTGAGAGACGAAAACGGTAGGTCAAATATGACACTGACATTCTTAAAAACAAAAACAAAAATTTACAAGGGACTGATTCTCACCTTGTTTGCCATCGGTGACTTGTATCGGGATACGATATCGGTTGACCTCCTCCCGATCAAGTTCCTGGGTCGTCCACAGTTGACCGTTTGAGTTAAGCTCAAACTTCCTTTTTACGTCGTCAGTCGCTGTTGGATCGAAAGCGTACTCCAACTGGACAGAGGGAGAAAAAGGGTGATGAAGATAATGACTGAAAACATTAAGAAACATTAAGAGACAATTATAATGGTTAAATAATTGTAGTATTTCATGTCGTTGCATTCAAATGGTTTAGATATGATACTCAAGGGATATTCATTGTATTCAAGGTGTCAAGATATTTATTGGGCCTCATTTAATTGTACTGTACTCAAGGGATTAAGTCATAGCACTCACGGGGTTCATATCGACCATATAAGGTAACACTCACCTCTCTGTAGGCAGGGGTGATATCCTTGTCTATGGCCTTTATAGTGGTGATGAGGGATTTAGGTGAGTTCTCCACGATGGCGCCATCAAACGGCTGCAGCAAAGGGGCGTTGTCGTTCACGTCCACAATATCCACCACTATCTGAACGTCCTGCCGAGCGTTCTGGTCGTTCTGTAGGAGAGAGAAGTCATCCTAAAGTCAGGTAAAGTAAACTTGAACGTGTTTTAGGGAAGTAGAGAGGAAGTTGTGATCAGAATGAGCTAGGTTAAAAAAAGAAGAAATTAGATAGAGTACTTTTGATTGAGCCAAGTCCTCTAAAGTGAGATACTAAGTCCTATGATACTTGAAAGTACAGTCGACTGCACTAAAACGTGGTACAGTGGCTGGCGTGTTTTGTGAAATGTGACGCCTCTCTGTTCGTTTACACCATATTAAAACTCCCGGAATGACCCTAAGGAATACCCTAATAGTAGGCAGACTAAGGATGCTAGATAAGCAGTCCAGAGAGTTACCATATATCACAAAAAGCGCAAGCCACTGTACCAGGTATAAGTGCAGGCGGCTGAGTCTGAATGTGTTCAATCATAAAGCCTTTGAATGTACTCACTCAAAAGCCTCCAGACACACTCAAGGGCCTCTGAATGCACTGACTCAAAAGCCTCCAGGGACACCCAAAGACCACTAAACGCATTCACTAAAATCGTCTTTGAATACAATTACTCAAAAGCCTCCAGAGACACGCAAAGATCACTGAACGCACTCACTAAATTCGCTTTTGAACACACTCACTCAAAAGCCTCAGAATGCATTCACTAACAAACTTCAGGACACACTTACCACAATCTGCAGAATGAGTTTGTACGCCGTGATGGACTCATAGTCAAGGCTTCTCATCGCGAGGTAAATGGCCACGCCCTTGCTGCCACCTGGACACATCCGCTCACTTTCTGTCAAGAACCTGAAGGAGAAAGAGAGAGTGAGAGAGAGAGAGAGAGAGAGAGAGAGAGAGAGAGAGAGAGAGAGTTTTTAGGACGTAGATATGAAAGTGGGTATGAGTGGATATGGATGTGGATGATACAGAGATACAGGTACAGGACTACAGGTACAGATACTGAGCTACAGATACAGGGTTACAGGTACAGTGCTACAGGATTATAACTACAGGGTTACAAGACTACATATGCAGGTACAGGGTTACGGGTACAAGGCTTCAGGTAGAGAATTACAGTTTCACGGTTACATGGTACAAGACTTCAGGTACAGGATTACAGGCACAGTGCTACAGGATTACAGGTAAAGGGTTATAGGATTACAGGTACAAGTATATGGTTACAAATACAGGGTTACAGTTACAGTGTTACAACACCTACCTGATAGCGAAGGTCCCGTCTTCGTTAGTGTCCTTCGTGTTGCCGTTGAGTAAAGTAAAGTAGACGTTCTCGTTGTTGGGGATGTTAGATCTAAGAACCAAAGAGACAGGAAGTGTCAGTATCGGGAAGTGGTGGTATTTACGGGAATGTCAATAACCAGGGAAGTGACGGCTTGTAGAGGAATGTTAGTACCAGAAACTGGCGGATTGTAGGGAAGTATTCGTACCGGGGGAAATGGAGGTCTTTAGGGAATGTCAGTTCTGGGAAGTGACGGAGTGAAGGTATGTAGGAAGTGCCAATATCAGGGAAGTTGCAGTCAATATTACAGTCTCAATAACGGGAAGTGTCACTATTTGGGCAGTGACTGTAAGTAGGGATATAATCAGTACTGGGTAAGTTTCAGGATCAGGTGTTCACACTTTACTTCCAGCCTTCCAGTGGGGAAGTGCCAATATAACGGTAAATAGGGAAGTGTCAGTATAGCAGCCTGCAGGGAAATGTCAGTATAAAGGCCCCACGAGTCAAGTTTATCTCGCTGTTGTAGAGAAGTTCCCCGAGAGGACATAATGAGTCATAATTTTGATGGTAATAAAGAGATGTCTAATAAACTAATGACTTGTATCACAGGGGATCCCATATCCACGAATTTACATTGAAAATAAGTTGACATTTTTTCTATCTCATCATTCAACTTGTATGTCATTATATTAGCACAAGAAGTTTTGATGGTCATATATAAATAATAAGTGATCTGATCCTAATATTTTTGGGTTCATTGGATTCCTCAAATACCAAAACCTATATAAAAACACCAAAATCCTCTTCTTAAGTCAATTGGTTGAGAAGTTATATGTATCAGCGACCATCTTGAATTTCTCGGAACACTCAAGGATAGGAACAACACACCCGGCAAAAATGACCGCTTACACCTCCCATGACAAGAACAAGTGAGAAATAAGAGAAATCAGAAAAAAATAAAAACAGAACTAGAGGAAACGATTCAAAGAAAACAAGAGAGAAACTGAAGCAGACAGACAAAAAAAAACCAGACACTCAGAAGAAACACACAGAAGAAAAGGCTGAAATAAAGAAGATGATAGACTGAAGTAAAGAGTAAGAAAGAAAGAGAGACAGACAAACAGACAGAAGTAGAGTGAGAAAGAGCAAAAGAAATAATACGGAAAACAGAGAGAGAGAGAAAACTGCGACTCCTTACTTGGCACAAACGACCACAATATCAGTGCCCTCACTGGTATCTTCGGGTACTGAGGGATCGCTCGGTTCCTGCTTCACGACGGTCGGCGGCAGGTTACCTGAGGACACAGCGTGGATCATCACCTCCACCAGACCCGTCATCGGTGGTGCGCCTTTATCAGTCGCTCTTGCCTCTAGCTGGAAGGTCTTCTTACCAGCCTATTACGAAAACAAACAAATAAACACAAAGGGCTCTAATGGTTAGAATCAATGAAGAATGTAGTAAAGTTTTGAGCCCAATAAGAGGAAACAAAAGAAACCAGCCAAAGGAGGATAAAGTTGATGGAAAATGATGCTTAAAGTTGTACACCTTCATTATTCATAGTCAAATAAATCACAAAATATATTCCGTGTTATAAAGAATATAACGTTATATCTGGTCATATAAATACAGACGAGTACAGTATTAACTTTTAAAACGAAATTCCCAGAAAGTTGCTGGTTAGTGTATTATTACATGTTTTTGAGATTTTATTCAGACTTAATAAATGAAACCTCAATATACTTCTAGTAATTATCTAACTTTAACATTTCTGTAAGTTTTTCAAATTACACACACACATTATATATATATATATATATATATATATATATATATATATATATATATATATATATATATATATATATATATATATATATATATATATATATATATATATATATATCACTTTAGGTGCGCGTGATCCATGTATATGCTAATAACCACATAAGAAAAAGGAAGACACGAAGTTCCCAAGCGCTATGTGTAGAAAATAAAACAGATAACAAGAATTATGATTGACCAAAATAACCTCCCATGACGCTACTCTAGGAAACACTCAGATATCATGCTTCTCCTTCAAACCAAAGAAGTGTATCTCTTTTTATGTTGAGGACTAGTGTACAGTATGTTGTACTATCCTAGAATACATGGTTATATACTTTCAGTTGTTGAAGCGCAGTCAAACATCATTATAACATTACCATCAAACCTTTCCCCGCTATACCGTCGGGTGGGCGTGGTCAGAAGGGAGCCTAAACTCTCTCTTCATTCATTCAATCAATTTTACGTCATAATGAAGAATAAAACATAAATTAACAATTTTGTATTATTTAATATTCCTCGAGCGTCAGAATTTTACTGAAATGTTGTTAATGAAATAAATATGATATTATAATATAAGAAATGCTTGTCATTTTTAGGTTTGGTTAATTTAAATATACTGACAATATATAAGACAAAAATGACAATTTGAAAAAAAAGATTTTGATGAACGATGCTTCATACATATATAAATTTGAATGATTAATAGAGTATTGCGTTTTTCTGAATACGTTTTAATTAATAATGCAAATTCAATGTAAAAATCTTACTGGAGACTTACTAGTTCTGAAAAACAATGTCAGCGAAAATATTTTGTAAAAGAATAAAGAGTTCGCCCTATCAATATATATATATATATATATATATATATATATATATATATATATATATATATATATATATATAGTAATATAAAATATCATATATATATATATATATATATATATATATATATATATATATATATATATATATATATATATATATATATATATGCTGAAGATGTATAGTGGCCGGAACTCTTGTGTTTTTCTTTTCCTTGTGGTTATATATATATATATATATATATATATATATATATATATATATATATATATATATATATATATATATATATATATATATATATATTAAGAAGGTGGGGGTTACGTGTATTTTGAAAACTTACCGAAATGTTAAAGTTAGATTATCAAGAAGAAAAAACACATCTGAATGGTGTAAACATTTTTTTAGGGGAGTGATTATTTGAACTCGGTGATGCATATGTTTAAGGTAAGACATACCTGTACTGTCAATCTTATCACAAAATAAAAACTACGGCGACTCTCCACTAGATATCAATAATAAAACAAAGATACATCTCTGGTTACACAAGAGTATGGGCACATGGAGGAAACACAACACTCCATGGCCGGGAAACGAATTAATGGCCTGAATCACTTGCAAAAAATGAACACATTGCCAACTGATTTACAAAAGAGCTAAACACACACACACACACACACACACACACACACACACACACACACACACACTTTAAAAAATTCTACCTCACTTACCATGTTTTCGTCGAGCGCCTTCTTCAGGGTGATAAAACCTGTGGATTGACTGACGTTGAAATAATCCAGATCTTCAGTAGTCCCGCCCAGCGTGTATGTAACCTCGGCATTCTCTAAAGCGTCCATGTCCGTAGCCGTCACCCTCAGTACTGGGGTGTTGATGTTATGGTCCGTGGCGACATTCTGTTCGTACCGCTGTGACCCGTAAGAAAGTACATATGCTGTCGTTAACTGGTTGCATTTTTTTATATTATCTATGTTTAATTGCCCCTACGTGTGTGTGTGTGCGTGTGTGTGTGTGTGTATGTGTGTGTGTGTGTTTGTTTGTAATTTTCTACGTATATGTGAATCCTAAGAAATAACATTGTCCTAATCTAACCTAAACTAATCTTACTGAGCCTCCATTGTTGATAACCCGCCGAGACTATACTGTTTATGTCACCCGAATGTGTACTGAAGACGTTAATAGCGTATCTATGGGTCTAAGAATCAGGGTCATGACATCTTCAAATCCTTCAACCTAAACTTACTGTAAACCGACACAATAATTCAAGTGTTGGGGAGGTAAGAAGTCCCTCGTCCCTCAACACAAATAAGTTTAACATGACACTGATTTTTGGCCCACAGGTACAACCAAAGACAAAAGTCGTCTCGCGGCTTTGTCCGAAGATTAAATATAACTCGTGAAACATTATGAGAGCCTCCTACCACAAGGCGGAGCGCACCAAAGGTTTAGCCCTTCGGCAAATGTTTTCACCAAATATCACGACACGACTTTTGTCTTTCATTGTACACTATAAACGTCGGCTTTACGCACATATACACACACACACACGGACTGTAAAAACAGTACCGTGTCAAGTTTTAAGCCCTGATTATGACCGCTTAAATTTGTTTCCCTGAGTCGGCTGGTAACAAGCAGTTATGGTCTTAAGGGAAAGAAATAGCACAGACAAACACAGAAGACAGACACACAGACATAAAGAAAAAGAGTCAGTGTCTCACCGGCTGGTCGAAGATAGGCGGGTTGTCGTTCACATCCTCCACCACTACCTTGAAGGAACACGCCTCCTGGAGAGCTTCCTTGGGTGCACCGTCCCTCGCGATCACAGTCAGGAAGAACTCCTTGTCCTCACGGTCGCGATCCAGCTTCTGCAGGAGGAGAGAGGCGCAGGTGTAATATTACCAAACTGAGAAGCACTGATGGAGGCTTAAGATGGAGAAATGAACACTAACTGGTGTTAAGGTCATTGTGGGCTGGTCAAAATGATCTCTCCCGGCGAGTCAGTGAGTCAGTCAGTCACTCATTCAATCAAATTTTGTTTCTATCAAGGTAAATGACTGCTAAAAATGGATGAATAAAGTCTTAATACACAAAGGAAATACAACAACAAATAAGGGGAAAAATAAGTGGGAAAAAACTGTGAAAGTTAAATTATGTCCCAGCGGCCTCATGTCCCGTTAGGGATAGTGTGCATAAAGTATACTGTATATTAAGTCTCAGTCCGTCTGGAGGCAGTGTGGTCGGCAACACTGTTGACCGTCTTACTGTAACCTCCTCAACCGAATATCGACAGGGGTTTCCCTATGTGTGAACCAGTGACCCTTATCCGCCGCATCACCTAAAATCATAAATCACTATACTACAGTGCCTCCTACACACTCTCTCTAACCATTCTAGTGAGTGCCTCCTACACACACACTCTCTCAGCTCCACACACAATATCATCTCCCTTACCCTGGTGGTGGTAACCTTCCCATTGCCATTGTCGGTGATGATGGCAAAACTGTCGAAGTCGTTCAGCAGGGAGTAGGTGACCTCCCCGTTGACCCCGTGATCCGCGTCAGTCGCCGTCGCCTGAGGGAGACGCAGCACATGTGTCGTTATCATCAGTGAACCAAAAGACAGCGTCAGCAGGCGAGTCATACATTTTCGCCACAGGATTTTAATTGACTTTTACTAAACAATATTGCCAAATATGTGACTCTCTCTCACACTCTCTAAACTTACTATTACGACTTTCTCTCCAGCTGTCTGGTTCTCCCTCACTTGGATGCCGTTATAGTCTTCACAGTTGCTAAACACTGGCTTGTGGGTGTTCTCATCTGAGGGAAAGTAAAAAACAAATATATTACGATAATGTAAACAAAGTTTAGCTCCTAACCAGAAAAGAAAATAACTTTGGCCAATCTACTTTAATGAAATCAATTTTGAAATTTCATCACATATATTAAGTATAATTTTCTATAAAAGTGATACTTAAGAATGTTGACGGTCAGAGGTCAGTTTTGATGGCGGTCCATTACAAATCCTTTCACCTAACTTCTAAATATCGAAATAAAATCACAAACTCCATTATGAATGAAACTAACAATAACTTATAAAATAATTTATGGGGAGCCTAAGTATAAACTGGACTATTTCCAATAACAAATTTCAAGTATATCTTAAAGATGTGCTTGTTTTGTAATCGTCATTTGAGTTAAATACAAGAATATTAGTTAATTCTAAATAAAACAAAGTAAGAGTGGATCCAATCATGAAGCATCACATGATAACTGTAAGTGTTCAGTCCGTCAAAACAATTACCAGTTTTCTACTTTCATTAAAATATTTTTTTTTAGTTCAGTACAAATTTGAAATTAGTTAAGTAGGACAATGAATGCCTTTTTACGATCAAGAAGACTAAGTACCTTGTCACCAGAAGATTTATAAGTCAACTACAGGTACTCAGTCAATCACTCCTGTTAAATGGTCTTATAGTATCAAGGCAGAAATTTAACTTTGTAGAACAACCTGTGACCTCGTTCTAGAGAGTTCATATTTCAAGTTAGGTGTGCGTTAGTCAAGGTAGTGAGTGAATGGTTGTACTGTGTTAGGGAATGTTAATATGGCGTTAGTTGTCAGTATTAAAGTCAGACAGTCTGGTTTTGTTATTTAATTATTGTGAATGGTACTATGACGATAGAGGTCAAGTGATATACATGAGTGGATTATAAGGTAACAAGTCTCAAGCCGAATGTTTATTATGTGTCACTGGTGCCCTGAGCAACAAAAATAATGACTACTTACTGTTCTGTTTCCTCATTATGTATATATATATATATATATATATATATATATATATATATATATATATATATATATATATATATATATATATATATTCACGCAGCCGCTAGGAAAGAGAAACATAAACATAGCTGATAACTTTCTTGATTAGTCCTATCTTCAGAAAACACAATACTGTTCTGTACTTTCTTCAGATGCGGATAATCACGAAAGCGTGTTTCTCTTCCTGGTGTTATCTGCACACACACACACACACACACATATATATATATATATATATATATATATATATATATATATATATATATATATATATATATATATATATATATATATATATATATATATATATATATATATATATATATATATATATATATATATATATATATATATATTAAAATTACTAATAATAAACTCAACTGCACAACATTTTCTCAAAAAAAGGCCTAAAGACGAGCCAAATTATACTATAACGTAGCAAACAAAAAATCGTTTACATGCAGAGAATGCAAAACTTCCACGAAACAAACTTGTTGCGGAATTGCTTTAAAATAAACAACCAACAACCTTCTACATCATGCAGGAGCTGGATTAGACAAACTACACTAACAAGACCTAACTAAATACTGTACTTGGAAAATCTCTTGTTAGTATGAAACGTCACTGCCTCAATAGCTAACATTTTTAGGGATAACTTATGTAACCCCACTAATCACTTGTTCTAATCTGTGATATTTAATTTAGAAACCAACTTACACAGTATTTAGAGAATCATGCTGATAACGAATTCAAAGACCAATAATTGGACAGTCAAGTACGTTATATATATATATATATATATATATATATATATATATATATATATATATATATATATATATATATATATATATATATATATATATATATATAATATGCAAGTAAATCACTGTAGGTGCGCGTGATCTAGGTATATGCTGATAACCACAAGGAAAGAAGAAAACACGAAGTTAGCGCTTTCGTGTAATTCACATCTTCAGGGGTGAGTACAGACTAGTCTGTACTCACCCCTGAAGATGAATTACACGAAAGCGCTTAAACTTCGTGTTTTCTTCTTTCCTTGTGGTTATCAGCATATATATATATATATATATATAATATATATATATATATATATATATATATATATATATATATATATATATATATATATATGAAAAATAAAATTATAACAGAGAGCAAATCGTATACAGCATATCTGTGTTTTAATATTCATGCTGAGTTGTACGGAGCATTCAAATTTTCTAAAGTATATTACAGGTAAAGCACACAACTCTACTTAGTGTACAAGTATCATTACCATGCAAGAATTCTCCAGAGAAATAATATAATCTTACCCTTAAGCCATGTGAGGCGGGCTGTGATCACCATGAGGGAACGCATAATGAAAAATTTTATTAATACCAAAACCGAAATATATTTTGGTTTCAGATATATTTTGTCAATCTACGAACTAAACTTGTCGGTAAAATTTTAGTCGAAGTTTACTATTATATGCACAATATGAATGAAGTTTTTAGTTACTCATTTTGTTTCAGTTATTTGACATTAAACGTATAAGATGTTAAAACCTTACCATACATGGGTCTGCTAGCTGCTGATGACAGGAACGAAAAACGTTAATTTAATTCTCATAATTCTCAAATGTTTTTTAAAATATACAAATTATTCATTCTTATTAATTTGTAGTTCATTCTTAATCTACATCATTAATTAATTACAATTATCTATGGAATATATAATTCAACATTGATTTATGTCTTATCAATTACAAAAATGTATAACTATTTAGAAAATGTGATTTTATCTTCTTAAATGTGATCTTATCCTCTTAAATATGATTTTATTCTCTCAAATGTGATCTTATCCTCTTAAATGTGATCTTATCCTCTTAAATGTGATCTTATCCTCTTAAATGTGATCTTACCCTCTTAGAAGTGATCTTTTTCTTAAATGTGATCTTTTCTTAAATGTGATCTTACCCTCTTATATGTTTTAAGGATAATATCTTTAAATTTCTTTCCATTAATCCTAAATTACATGAGAATAATTATAGTCAATTATCAAGCTCGCTCAAGCTAAGAACTCTGTAGGTCAAGACATATACAGTACAGCTTGGAAATTAAATGTACAAAAATATTGCTCATTCTGATTTTCAATAATCTTCCCTCCCAAAAATAAATAAAATGCAAACAGAAGAAACGAAATAATATACTGTACAATAATATATAGAAAGCCTTTCACTTAAATTGAGCTAAATTATCATTCCAATTGTATAACAATTACATAAGGCTAAGCTTCAAGCGTTTTTTTATGATAATTACAAAGGCTTTGCTGGAGACGAGATACTTGATACTAAGCTTCTTTTTATCATACTGTAAAGTTTAAATCAATCTTTCATACGAAACATATTAAGATTTATCCTCAACATTAACTCATGAAATGTATCTTTTGAGTTTCGGTGACACTGACAATTAAGGTATGACACCATCTTCACTGTCTTGTCAGCTTTCTCGATTACATATACCGCCATCTCAGAAACGAAAAACGTCTGTAGCTGTCGCCTTCATTGATTTCACTAAAGCATTCGACCTAGTCGACCACAATTTAATCATCAACAAAGCTATTGACCTCGGGCTTACAGACTTCCTCAGTGACCGACGCCAAGCTGTACGCTTCCGAGGGGCTGTCTCCACCTTTCAGTCACTCACCTGTGGCGTCCCCCAAGGCACCAAGATGGGACCACTCTGCTTCCTTATGCTTATCAATGATGCCCTAAGAGAAACCCCTGCTCGCTGGAAATATGTCGACGACTCCAGCATCAACAATTCTGCTCCCGACTATACCGCCCTTCAGGATTTATTGAACAGTCTACAAAACTGGGCCACCAACAACCACGTCGCCGTCAACCATACCAAGACCATGGTTATGCACATCAACCTCTCCTCCGACATTGTCCCACCCCCTTCCATTACTTTAGGTCCCAACACACTCCAGGTTGTAGATTCCACTAAGCTCCTCGGCGTCACCATAGACAACAAACTAAATTGGAAACCACACGTCAGTGAAGTTGTCAAGTCCTCCAGTTTCCGTCTCCACCTCCTCCGCCGACTCAAGTCCCTCAGAGTTCCTGCACCCGAGCTCCTCAGTGTTTACTCTACATTCATTCTTCCCAAGCTAACCTATGCCTCCCCCACCTGGTCTTCCTCCCTAAATGCCACACAACGTAAACACCGAGAAAAAGTGCAAAAGAGGGCATACAAGATTATTCTCTCCCCTTCCTACTCTACATATCAAGAAGCGCTCAATACACTGACCCTTTCGACTCTCACTGACCATCACCACGACCTCATCTGCAAATTTGGTAAGAAGCTTCTGCACCATCCTCGACACCGGCTCCTACTACCACCTGAGATCCGTAGCCCGAGAATTGCTGTTCGACACCACAACCGCATCCAGCCCAGTCCCAACCATTGTAAAAATTATCAATAACTTGTAATAAACCAGTGTATTCACTCCCAGTAAGTCCTACTTCTTGCACTGTCACTATGTTGAAATGCCCTGTAGTTTGAGCTTTTCCCCATCTAGTTATTAAATATCTTATTTGTATCACTTATGTTACAAATTATGTAACTGTATATTTTCAGCCTTCTGGCTGCTATGCTCTTTCAATAAACCGTTAATTATTATTATTATTATTATTATTATTATTATTATTATTATTATTATTATTATTATTATTACAGTCACTCACTCACTAAAGTCCTGTCGTTTCTCCTGAACCACGAACCCCGAGACTCATACTCGTGAAGCCGAAGCAGTAGGCACAACCGATGAATTATTCTGTTCACAAATGCTTCGGATTCACGAGTCTCAATCTTGGGATTTGTGATTCAGGAGAGGCGACGTGACTTTTGTGGGTGGTTGCACACATACAAATAAAATTACCTGGACACCTGATGATATTTGGCATCTACTTTTAGGTCAAGTTTACAGATGGTGAACTCTTCTTTTCAATACACATTTTATTAAAAAGTAAAACACATGAAAAAACTCTGACCCTCAATAAGATGCCAGGTATTGCCAAAAGTGTTCAGCGAATTTTGGTCCGTAATTGAACCCTTAACCCCTACACTATGGGTACGCCACTTTTAATATTTTATTTGGTCAACTCCTGATGATTTTATTCAGTTTAGAGGTGACACCGTACGCAAGTGGTTAAAATTTCCAGGGACAGTTTTTACACCTTTATATAATATTCCCTATCGAGTTATCTTTTATCCACACAAATCCACGTAACATCACGAACAGCCCTGAAATCGTTTATATGTTTAACTCCTTTGGTGAAACTAACAAATTAACTGATAGCTTCTAATATCTTTAAAATATCAAAGATTATGTTTTTATATATTTTCTTCTAAGTACTCTCAAACACACAATAATTTACCATAATTGTAATTAGCCAATTTATTACATTTTAAATCTCAAAGTCTTATTTAAACAATGAATTACAGAATCCTCATAAAAAGATCATCAATTGTCACTAATAATTACTAACTACCTGACCAAAATAAATTCCTCTCCACCGTCCACATACAAACAAAAGTATCACCTAAATTATTCTAAAGTCTCGAGGAGTTACAATGGAAGCCACAGGTCAGACAAAACTTACCTATTATGCTGACTTTCAAAGGGACTGTAGAACTGAGGTCAGTTTTATCGATGGCGGCGGCGGAGAACTTGAATTCCCAAATGTTTTGAAAATTGGCACTATTTACCGTAATGATGCCTGTTGTATTGTCGATGGCGAACTGAGGGAGAGAGGTGTGACGAGTCTGTTAAATTGTATACCATGAACACAAGAGAGATGTGACGAGTCTGTTTAATTATACCTTTAACACAAGAGAGATGTGAAGAGTCTGTTAAATTATACCATTAACACAAGAGAGGTGTGACGAGTCTGTTAAATTATGTCATTAACAAAAGTATTTGGGTATAATTCAATGATAAACTAATAGACCTGTCTGCAACTAACTGTTACGTCTACGACTCGACAAGTTAAAAGACAAAGAACTGAATATTCAATTTACCACATCATAAGAATATTTAAGATGGCCTCAAATATGTTTCGAAATCTTGTTCAAAGTTTCTCTCAAATTAAGATTCTAAATGTTGTGGAACTTATACATGATAACCCCTTACCCCGTGTCTGTTTCTGGGGAACTCACAGCACAACGATAACACGACTATATTTCGTGATATTTTGAAACTTTTGAACCTGTATATGTAACTTTGTACAGTCACTCCCACAGGTCATTTTCGCCTCTCCACCTGAACCACGAACCCCCGAGATTCAGACTCGTGAATACGGAGCATTTATGGGCAGAATAATGAATCAGTGTCTACTGCTTCGGGTTCACGAGTCTGAATCTCGGGGCTCGTGGTTCAGGAGGAGAGGCGACAGGATTTATGTGGGTGACTGTACAGTTGCCAGCAAAAGTCCTCCCACAGCCCTGGACTTTTGCTGGTAATTGTACCTGCAATGTTGTCCTTAAAATTATTCAAATGAATTTTATCTCAGTAATAAACTTAATCAATGAGGGAAACGTTGTGTGTTATAGTCGAAGCAGTGTGTAACAGTATATATACACGACGGGGACCTCAGTGTTGATATTATAATGTATTAATGAGCCTCAGCAGCTATAAATCTTAAGTGCGTATTTTAAGTAAAAACCTTAGTCATCAAAACTTATAAACTGGATAAAGAGTCAACACTGATTAACTACCCACGAAGACCTGTGTATCTCAATTGGGTCTGATATACTGTAGCTTCGAACAGGAGTGACAGAAGTTTCGAACAGGAGTGACTGAAGTTTCGAACAGGAGTGACTGAAGTTTCGAACAGGAGTGACTGAAGTTTCGAAAAGGAGTGACTGAAGGTTTGAACATGAATGACTGAAGCTTCGATGAGGAGTGACTGAATTTTCAAACAAGAGTAACTGAGAATTCGAACAAGGTGACTGAAGCTTCGAACAAGAATGACTGAAGCTTAGAACAGGAGTGACTGAAACTTCGATTAGGTGTGACTGAAACTTCGAACAGGAGTGACTGAAGGTTTGAACAGGAGTGACTGAAGCTTAGAACAGGAGTGACTGAAGCTTAGAACAGGAGTGACTGAAACTTTGAACAGGAGTGACTGAAGGTTTGAACATGAGTGTCTGAAGGTTTGAACAGGAATGACTGCAGCTTCGAAAAGGAATAACTGAAGGCTTGTACAGGAGTGACTGAAGCTTCGAACAGGGGTGACTGAAAGTTTCAACAGGAATGACTGAAGGTTTGAACAGGAATGACTGAAGCTTCAAACGGGAATGACTGAACGTTTGAACAAGAGTGTCTGAAGGTTTGAACAGGAGTGATTGAAGGTTTGAACAGGAGTAATTGAATCTTCGAACAGGAGTGACTGAAAGTTTCATCAGGAGTGACTGAAGGTGTGAACAAGATTGACTGATGCTTCGAACAGGAGTGACTGAAGGTTTGAACAGGAGTGACTGAAGCTTTGTATAGGAGTGACTGAAGGCTTGAACAAGAGTGACTGAAGCATCAAACAAGAATGACTGAAGGATTGAACATGAGTTTCTGAAGCTCCAAACAGGAATGACTGAAGGTTTGAACAGGAGAGACTAAAGCTTCGAACAGGAGTGACTGAAACTTCGATCATGAGTGACTGAAGGTTTGAACAGGAATGACTGAAGGTTTGAATATTAGTGACTGAAGTTTCGAACAGGAGTAACTGAAGCATCGAACGGAAGTGACTAAAGGCTTGAACAGGAGAAACTGAAGCTTCGAACAGGGGTGACTGAAACTTCGAACAGTAGTGACATGAAGGTTTGAACTAGGAGTGACTGAAGGAAATAATCTTGTAATTTTGTACTTGAAAGATGGATACTTAGAAAAACAGAAATAAAATGATTTATACACTTCATCACACTGGCAATATGCTATTATATAACATCGGATGACTTGAAAATTAAACACCTTAACGCTACCTGGCAGGGAGGGATTAGCTTAGGTTAGGCTAGTGTTAGGTTAAGTTATTGTTTGGGTGGTTAATCTTCGTGTAATTTGCCATACCTAATCTAAAGTCTAATTCTCTCAGTCACTCTCCTACACCCTCATGTACTCACCATGCCTGGGGGGTTGACTTGGCGCAGTTCATATCTGTCGAAGTTAAGATCAGCGTCCCTGGCCACCACCGTCCCGACGTATGACCCTGTAGAAAAAAAAGAAGAAAAAAAAAGGTAAATGGACGGATAACGACGTACGACTTGACACAAAAAAGATGGACACAAGTTAAAAGCTTCGTTTGGACGTACGACTCAACACAAAGTGAATGAAAGGTGAAAGTAGTGGATGAGTGATGATGTAAGGCCTTCTGAACAGTACCTAATTTGACGCCCTGACCTGATAACCTGAACATAACCTGATCAAACACTAATGAACCTGACCTTTCCTGACTCTTTTGAATTTGACCTGCCCTGACCAGATGTGACACTTTTGAACATGACCTGGCCTGAGTCTTATGAATATGGCTTGAGCTGACACCAATAAACATGGCCTGATATGGCACCAATGAATGTGACCTGACCAATTTGCCCTAAACATACCCTATATGGCACTATTGAGCATAACCTGACCTGATACTGATAAACATGTCCTAGTTTGACATTTCCGAACATGATCTGACCTGACGCCAATCAAAATATTCTTACCTGACACCTATAAAAAACGACACTACCTGATAACAATAAAAATGTCGTAACCTGGCACAAAAAAAAAAAAAACATAACTGACACCAATGAAAACGGCACTACTTGACATCAATAAAATGACACTACCAATAAAAATTAACCTCTCTGACACCAAAAGAAATAACACTACATGATATCAATGAAAACATGACTAGCCGACACTTACCTACACCAGCAAACTCAGACACAGAGAAGTCATAGTGATCAGCGTCAAAGTAAGGCGGCTCAGGTGTATCCTCGACCCTAATTACCGCTGCAACCACCGCCTGCTTCCTTGTTGACCTGAGCATCCCTGAGAGTAGAGAAACAATGGGGCAATGTTACTTTTGGGCACTGTTACCTTGGACCGGTGTTACCTTGGGGCAGTTGTAACTTTTGGACAGTGTTACTTTGGGAAAGTGTTACTTCGGGGCAGTGTTACCTTGGAATTGCGTTACCTTGGGGCAGTATTACTTTGGGGCATTGTTACTTCGGGCGGTGTTACCTTGGAAGAGTGTTACCTTGGAGCGGTGATACCTTGGAGCAGTGTTACCTTGGGGCAGTGTTAATTTGGGGCAGTGTTATTTTGGGGCAGTGTAACCTTGGGCAATGTTACTTTGGGACAGTGTAACCTTGGGCAGTGTTTCTTTGGGGAAGTGTTACTTTAGGACACTGTTAATTTGGGACAGTGTTACTTTGGAGCAGTGTTATTTCGGAGCAGTGTTACCTTGGGTAGTGTTACTTTGGGGCATTGTTACCTTAGGACAGTGTTAATTTCGGGCAGTGTTACTTTGGGGAAGTGTTAGCTTGTGGCAGTGTTACTTTCGAATAGTGTTACTTTGGGACAGTATTACAGTGGAGCAGTGTTACCTTGGGGCAGCGTTTCCTTGGGGCTGTGTTACTTTGGGGCAGTGTTACCTTGGGGCAGTGTTACCTTGAGGCAGTGTTACCTTGGGGCAGCGTTACTTTGGGACAGTATCACCCTGGGGCAGTGTTACCTTAGGGCAGTGTTTCATTGGGGCTGTGTTACTTGGGGCAGTGTTACCTTGGGGCAGTGTTATTTCAGTGTTTCTCTGGGCAGTGTTACCTTGGGGCAGTGTTACCTTGGGGCAGTGTTATTTCGGGGCATTGTTTCCCTGGGGCAGTGTTACCTAGGGGCAGTGTTACCTTGTGGCAGTGTTACTTTGGGGCGGTGTTACCTTGTGGCAGTGTTACCTTGTGCCAGTGTTACTTTGCGGCAGTGTTACTTTGCGGCAGTGTTACCTTGTGCCAGTGTTACTTTTGGGCAGTGATATCTCGGGGAAGTGTTACCTGAGGATAGTGTTACTTGGGACAATGTTACCTTGGGAAAGTGTTACTTTGGGACAGAATTACCTTAGGACAATGTTACCCTGGGGCATTATTGCTTTGGGGCAGTGTTACCTTGGGGCAGTGTTACTTCGGGGCAGTGTTACCTTGTGGAAGTGTTTCCTTGGGACAGTGCTAATTTGGGGCAATGTTACCTTGGGACAGCATTACCTTGGGGCAGTGTTACTTTGGGACAATGGTACCTTGAGACAGTGTTACTTTGGGGCAATGTTACTTTGGGACAGTGTTACTTTGAGACAGATTTACCCTGGAACAGTGTTTCTTTGGGGCAGTGTTACCTTGAGCAGTGATACTTTGGAGCAACGTTTCCTTGGGACAGTGTTACTTTGGGACAGTGTTACTTTGGGACAGTTTTACCCTGGGACAGTGTTTCTTTGGGGCAATGTTACGATTCAATTGTTATTAGAAAAGTAATGATCAGTTGCTTCTTCATAATTAAGGTATTCCTATGTCAACTGTCACACACACACACACACACACACACACACACACACACACACACACACACACACACACACACACATACACACACACACACACACATACACACACACACACACACACACACACACACACACACACACACACACACACACACACACACACACACACACACACACACACACACACACACACACACACACACACACACACACACCTTATTCCAGGATTATCTGTGATTGTTTTAATTAAGAAATCAGTTATTGTACAGTCGAGGTCAAAAGTCTTGAACACTTAGCAATATCTGGCATCTGCTTCTGAGTTATACATATATGATTGGGATATACTAATAACACAACTTGTCATCACTTATTCTGCCCTAGCCACAAAATGGGATAAAACTCTCCTTAATACCTAAGATCTTCGGGTACTTACATGCCAAATACTGTCAAGTGTTCAAGACTTTTAACCCTGACTGTGCATTTATTTAATACGTGAAAACAATTATTCTTAAAAACAAAAACTATTCCATCTTCAGATTAAGAAAACATATGATTGCCTTAAAGATCCCCATATAACCATGTTTATCCTGTGAAATCAAGTTAATATATTCTTTTAACATCAACTATCCTTCATCGCCTTCGTCAGTACCTTGGTCCTCGGCGTAGATCTGAAGAAGATATTCCCCATTGGTGTGTTCAAAGTCCAGTGGCCTGATGTTATATAAGACACCGCCCTCGTCTATCTCAAAGTTGACTGGGTCGCTCACTCTGTACTGAATTAGTCCGTGTCTGTCCATATCGTCGTCCGTAGCCTGGACCTGTACAGAGAGAGAGAGAGAGAGAGAGAGAGAGATGGATGCATGAGAAGGGGGTGTGTGGGTGTTAGGTATATCTATCAGTCCATCTGTCTTCATTACTATTTTAACTCTTATATCTATTATTGTCATAACTTTTCTATATATCTTTTCTTTCTATCTATCCACCTCTTTCCCGTCACCAGCTACTATCTATCAATCTATCTATCTTTCTTTCTATCTCCATTGTCTATCTATCTATCTATCTATCTATCTATCTATCTATCTATCTATCTATCTATCTATCTATCTATCTATCTATCTATCTATCTATCTATCTATCTATCTATCTATCTATCTATCTATCTATCTATCTATCTATCTATCTATCTATCTATCTATCTATCTATCTATCTATCTATCTATCTATCTATCTATCTATCTATCTATCATCCATCTATCTATCTATCTATCTATCTATCTATCTATCTCATCTATCTATCTATCTATCTATCTTTCTTTCTTTCTTTCTTCTTTCTTTCTTTTTCTTTTCTTTCTTTCTTTCTTTCTTTCTTTCTTTCTTTCTTTTCTTTCTTTCTTTCTTTCTTTTCTATCTATCTTCTTTCATCTCCATTATTCATCTATCTATCTATCTATCTATCTATCTATCTATATATATATATATATATATATATATATATATATATATATATATATATATATATATATATATATATATATATCCATTATCTATTTACCTATCTTTCTGTCCATCGATCTATCTATTTATCTCCATTATAGATCTATCTATCTATTTATCTATCTATCTATCTATCTATCTATCTGAGTCCCGCCACCAGCACCTTACCTGTAATATAGATGTGTGCAAAGGTAGGTTCTCCTTCACTGTCTGTTGGTATTCCGTGTGGGTAAATTTGGGCTGGAATCTGTTATCAATGTTCCTCCGCCGCAGCTTCCGGAGTTCGTGGTGATGGCGGACCTTTGGTTTGTTTTGGTCGTGGTAGTACTTGTGGTGGTGGTGGCGGTGCGGTCGTCTCCTGCTGTTGCATGCTGTAGTGATGGTGGGGGTTGAACCAGGTAAACTCGCCTTCTCTTCCTTTGCCCTTCCTCCTCCCTTCCTGCGGTTATATTCCTTCTGTTTCATCTTCTTTGTGGTCTGATGATGACATTAGCCATGATGATAATGATGATAATGATAATGATGATGATGATGATATTGATGATGACGACGGTGGTGATGATGCAAAAAAGAAAGAGAAGAGAAGCGTCAGTATAGGAAGTCGTCAGAATCAATGGGTTATGTCATTGTACTCTAGGTGTTATGTTATCGTACTCAAGGGGTTATGTCATAGTACTCTAGGTGTTATGTTATCGTATTCAAAGGGGTATGTCATCGTACTCAAAGTTATGTCATCGTACTCAAGGCGTTAAGTCATCATACTCAAGGGGTTATGTCATCACACCTCGTTGTTAATTCATCGTACTCAAGGGGTTAAGTAATCGTGCTTAAAACATGATACCCGAGGCACCGACTATCTACAGAGATATTGAAGAAAATAGATTAAGTGAAATAGTAATGACTTATAACGATGTTAGTAAACGAATAGATAAACTAAAGCCTAATAAGCCGCCAGGTCCCGATGAGATATTTGCCAGAGTATTTAAGGAATGTAAAGAAGAATTTAGTTTGCCCTTAGTAAACTTGTTTAACATGTCATTAAAAACCAGTACCAGAATCCTGGAGGATAGAATGGTTTCACAGGTGGGCGTTCATGTCTGACAAATCTATTATCATTCCTTTCAATTGTTTTTGAATCAGTAGATGATGTGGTTTACCTAACTTTATAGCCTTCGAAGGGTCTCCCACGAAGGACTAGTCCGTAAAGTGGAGGCACGTGGAATTGAAGATTTAGGTGCGATATAGGTAAACACTGGTTTGGAAATAGAGTAGTGGATAAGTGGAACAGGTTACCAAACATCTTCATTAACGCGAATACGCTGGATTGGTTCAAACTTAGGTTGGATGGATAAATGAGCGATAGGGTGTAAACGGGACTGCCCAGTAAAGGGCCAATGGGCTCGCTACAGTTTCCACCATTCTTATGTTCATATGTTCTTATGTTAAGCCATCGTGCTCAAGGGGTTATGTCATCGTACTCAAGGAGTTAAGTCATGGTATTCAAGGTGTTAAGTCATCGTACTCAAGGAGTTATGTCATCATAATCAGGGTTATCATCTTACTCAAGGGGTTATGTCATCGTACTCAAGAGGTTGTCATCGTACTCAAGGAGTTAAGTCATCTGACTCAGGGGTTACGTCATCGTACTCAAGGGGTTATGTCATCGTACTCAAAGTGATTAAGTTATCGTACTTGAAGGGCAAAACATTTTTAACCAGTTTTTTAACTACATCTTTCAGAAGAACAAAATGGCTCTGAGAAATTTCACACACACACACACACACACACACACACACACACACACACACACACACACACACACACAGAGTGGGCATTTGCTCGTATTTATCAGTCAATTGATCCACAGCAATCTGGCAATATGAAGACCTCCTCAACATCACACTGCTTAGTTAGTTTCCTGGATTTCCTGCACAAAAACCTGCAGAAACGTAAGACATCACAGGCCGTTGCCCTTGTTGACTCCAGGAAGGCTTTTGACCTTGTTGATCACTTCACTGTTATCAACAAGGCCATTGCACTAGGGCTGCCCACCAACCTGGTCTCATGGCTCACCGATTTCCTGAGTGAGCATCGTCAGGCAGTCAGGTACCAGGGTTCAGTCTCCACATTCCAACACCTTACTTGCAGTGTTCCACAGGGGACCAAGATGGGACCACTGTGCTTCCTAATCCTGATCAACGACGCTTAGTTGGACACTTCTCACAGGTGGAAGTATGTGGATGACTGCACTGTGGGGGTTACAGTGGACAACACCTCACCGGACTACTCATAGATACAAGGCACCCTGGACAGGCTACAGGCATGGACTACGGAGAACAAGGTCACCATCAACCACACAAAACCGTAGTCATGCACATCAGCCCTGCACACTCCAGTGCAACCTCCAGCAGTCACAGTGGTGCCCATCCTCTCAGTTAGTGCAGTCTGCCAAACTCCTGGGTGTTACCATAGACCACAAACTGGACTGGAGGCCCATGTAAACAATACAATCAAGGTAGCCTCGACCGACTCTACATGCTACAACGACTCAGGTCATGGGGCACTCAGAAAGAGCTGAGGACTATCTCCGCTTCCTTCTCCCCAAATTAACGTATGCGTCACCAGCCTGGTCGTCTTCTCTCAACTCTCCAACAACCCCAGCTAGAAAGTATAGGAAGGGCCTGCAGAATCATGCTCTGCGCAGACTACTCAGGCTACAACAACGCTCTCTCCACCCTGGAAATGTCATCTCAGGTTTGGCAGTGGACTACTACCATCCTCATCATCCCTCCTGCCACGCAGCAATCCCGCCACCTGGCGTCCGCCACTACAACAAATTCAGCCCATAAGAGCCCTACTCATAGATATAAGAACAGCACCATCCCAGCTATTGTTAAAATAATAAACAACTCTGACTTATGTACTGTACAGCCCTGTAAATGTATTAAACGCATATCATTATGTCATCACATGTAACTCTATATCAATAAATCGTTTATTATTATTATTATTATTATTATTATTATTATTATTATTATTATTATTATTATTATTATTATTATTATTATTATTATTATTATTATTATTATTATTATTATTATTATTATTATTATAACACACACACACAATACGACCGACACACAGACCAACATACCTCAGACTGAGAACTAAAGACAGGTAAAATTATTACAGGTACCGACAACAGGTAATTAAAGTAACTCACTTGAGAAAAAGTTTGAAAAAGGAAGACAAAGTCAACAGGTGTTCAATGACTTTTTCGTAAGCACATGTAAACAGTTATACAGCGGTGACCATTTTGTTTACGACACCTGGATGAAAGATGTGTGTGTGTGTGTGTTGTGTGTGTGTGTGTGTGTGTGTGTGTGTGTGTGTGTGTGTGTGTGTGTGTGTGTGTAGCATATTTTTACTGTAGGTCACTTTTAGCATGTTTGTATGAGTTGAGATACATGTGTGTGTCTCTCAGAAAATTTGAGTGAGAAACGATTGCGACATATCATACTAAATACATAATCCTATCAATCCAACAATCAATCAATCATCAGATCTCAGGGTTGGTGACCACAGTCCAACATTACAGATATGTGAATCAGTTTAATTTAAAATTTTGTATTTCCAAACAGAGTTTAACCAATCACAAAATAATTAAAAAATTTTCTGAGCGATATAAAAATACGTTTGGTAGTGGAGGATTTTTGTGAAATAAATTTTTTTGAAATATTTAAAACAAAAATTATTGGTTGTAAAATTTTAGAGAACAACAACGGACTCCTGATTAAATAAGTTTTATGTCAGTTTACACCGGAGTTGTCAAGGAATGAGGGACACCTTAACTTGTATTGTTTTGTGACTACTGATAAGTACAGTATATGGTATAATCATTTATCATTTTGAAGTGATAATTACTTTATAAAGCTATCTAGTATGTGCAAGAAAATATCATAGATATTTAATAAAGAATTATCTACTGGAAAGTCATAATTCATTTAAATTAATTTTGGTAAAAGAAAGTTTAAAGTTGGATTACATAATTTTTTAATATTCTAAATTATATATTATAGAACTTGTATATGTGCTATTATAGACGGAACTAATATTCACCTGTGCAATTTAAGAGATTTCCCGTCTTCCTGGGCAACCCCTTGACTCATAAAGCTCATTAGCTCACTGTGTGGTTGTCGTGTTGTTGGCCTGTTACCATTAGCGTGGATAAAACACACTAAATATGATTATGATACAAATGGAGGCAGCGTGGCCGACACTGCATCCTGCAACTGGGTCGATTTGAGTTGCTCTATTTACTGAACGACTGCGGGACTCGAACTATCTAACACTATATCAAAGAGCGAGTACTATATCCATTCGGCCACATTAATCTCCAAACACAAAAAAAACCTTGCAGAACAAATGGCGTCAGTTCTTAAAATATATTGTGAAGGGTAAATGTTTACTAAGGCAGTCCAACGTTACCCTCACCTCCACGTGTTAGTGTAACCTGACCCTCCCTAACCTGATTACCGAGTCAATTTCTGAATACCTCATCCTGAGGTAATTTGAATAAGAAAACCCTGATTATATTTCCAGAGGATGAAAAACATCCTGACACTCACTGTGTGTGGGAAAAAACACCTGTTTTCTCCTGGGATATTGTATATGGTTGTGTTTGTTGCTTTATTCTTGTTTCTTGGTTGTATTTGTTTTCGCTTGTTTTTGTGTAAGTATTATCTATATTTGTTTTCTTCTTGTTTCTTACTTGTGCGTCAGTCTTTTTATTTTGTTTTGTTTATATTACGGTAAACTACATATCTAAACACCTATTGATTTCCTTCCACCTTTTATCACATTCATCAACAAACAATTATCATTTTCATCATCTGAGATAATGTTGTCTACTTGAATTGAACGTTAATCAACTTTCAATTGCACAAACAACTTTTCAACCAATATCGTAGACTTACAAAAAATCATCAATTTCAACTACAGATACTTCGAGGATTCATGAACACAACTTTGTTCCCATCAATGTTACCCATCAATTATTTCTCCTTCTATTCCAGCTCAAAATAATATCTATCTCAATCCTCAATCATAGTTCAGTGGATCTCGACCTTAGATTCAGTCCACAGGAATTGAACGGTGAAAGATGAATGCAACTTTCTATCCTTTCAGATTTACTATAAACATACTTTCTACTACTCAACCACCTAACCAATATTACTTTCTACCCATCATCTTAAACCCCAAACCACTTTCTACCCATTACCTTCAAACCAAAAACC